AAAAAAAAAAAAAAAAAAAAAAAAAAAAAAACTCTTACATTCCAACAGAAATATTCCGTTGGAATTCTTTATATTTTCCGTTGAAATAGCTATTCCAGCGGATATTCCTACGTATAAAAATTCATGGGAAAACGGCCGTTGGAATAGCTAAAATCCAACGAAAAATCCTATGGAAATAAATTCCGACAACTATTCCAATGGAAAAAATCCGTTGAAATTCCTCAACCATCCAACACTTATTCCAACATAAAATTAACTTTGTTAGAATATTCATTGGAATTTCCAACGGAAATTTTTGCCGTTGGAATTTTTCGTTGGAATTGAAGCGTTTTCTTATAGTGTGGGAAATTAGATAGGTTTGGGGGTTTATTTTGCAATTTATAAACTTTTAATAAATGTATAATTTTATTTATTGATGGCAATTTAGAATTTAATGAAGATCAATGTATATTGTGGATAGGTGTGCGCTTTATTTTTACTAGCATAATAAAAAAAAATTAATAATAATTTTATATTTTAATTGTTGAAACTATATTCCAATATAAAAACGAATAATAATAATAATATTTATATATAATTTGTACATTTGGTAAGTTCGACTGTTTGATTAATAAAAAAGTTCGACATCGAGCCAAAATAAAGTATTCTTAAAATTAAAATTAAAAAGAAAGGAAAATTTAGTTATGTTGTGTTCGTTCGATATTGTGCATTCTATTAGTAAATAATGTGCAATTTGTATAAACATAATGTGCACTCGCAATACATAAATAAATATATATATATATATATATATAATATTTTTTTGATATAGTTCGTCATTTCAGTTATATTGATTATGTTCAAAAAATAAATCAAAAAATTTAACTGCAATAACAGTGATTTTACAAGTAAAAACAATTTATCGAACAGAGATATAAGAATTTGAACCGAAAACTCTATTCGGTCGGTTTCGCTTTCGCTATCTATTGTGCAATCTGTTAGTCATCAAAAGTGCAACGTATTATTTTATAAAGTGCAACATGTTGTTTTATAAAGTTCAACGTATTGATATATAAAGTGCACCACTGTAATTTTGCCACATTAGCATGCTTGTATTTTTTGTTGACAAATGATATGATGGATGCTAAAATATTTGTATCTCCATTTTTTTAGATTTATGTTGCGTGGAATTTTGAATGAAACTATTGACGTTAATTGTGGGGTGTGGTGATAAAGTGCACCATGTTATTTTATAAAGTGCAATGTGTTGCATGATAAAGTGTAACTTGATGTTTTATAAAATGCGTTGTGGAGTGTGGTGATAAAGCGCACCGAGTTGTTTTATAAAGTGCAATGTGTTGCATTATAAAGTGCAACTTGATGTTTTATAAAGTGCGACGTTTTTTTATATAAATCACTACTTTATATAATCTCATATAAATTACGTGTATTCAAAAACTTATTTTATTAGATATAATTGTACATTGAAGAACCGAAATAATTCAAAATGTTTTATTATTAATTTTGTGTAGTAACATTGTAAATATTTTTGTGTAGTCGCATTTAGTATTACATTTATGTGCAGTCTAACACTGTATAATAATTTTGTAAAGTTTAACAATAACTAATGTGCATCTTGATTAATATTATTGTGCATTCTGAAGTGCGAGTTATTTTATTTGAAAATTTGAATTAAAATAAAAAATAATAAGTTTAATTGTTTGATTAATCGAATTAACTTAAATATTAAAATAAATCATTATTTGTATTAAAAAATATATTTAATATTTTATTATTTTTATTTAATAATTTATATTATTTTAGGGTCGACATACATGATATATATATACGTATAAAGTTGTAAAAACTAATACTTTTTTAAATAGCTTTTATAAATTATATATTTGGCCATGGACAAAATTGAATTATATTAAATTTTTAGATTTGCAATCAAAACTTATCAAATTCTCAAAAAAGGTCCTAGATACAAAAATTAATTCTTTCCTCCCATGCCCCAGCTTTCTTCTCCATTGGACCACTACGGACTCCGCCTTCATTCTCTCCTCTCTCCGGCGCCAGTCCGACGGATGACCAACACCTTGCAATTGAAACAAAAAAAAAAGAAGGGAATTGAATGAGTCTGTCCCGTTACAGTCCCAATCGTCGCCGCCCGAGGTGTCGGACGCCATCTCCATTACCAACGCCCTCGTCTTCACCTTCTTGTTCTCCCAGTCGTGGTCTTCACCATCTTCTTCGCCCAACATATCGGAGGGCTTATTTCATATTCGCGGCGGCGGATATCTCAAATTCGCGGTGGCGGCTGAACACGGTCGATGGCGGCGGGGCTTTGTGTAACAGAATAGCTCACCCGCTACAGAATATTATCCGCTTTGGGTATACACCAGATTACTCCCTCACGGTTTTGCCTTTGGGAGCTAGCTCACCAAAACGCGTCCTACTAGTTAAGGCTTGCCCTTAATCCTGACTCGCACTGCGCAGCGGTGCGTGGTAGGATATTGTCCCTGCTCTGATCCCAGGGTTTTGTTCTGGTACTGACCCAGACGCGTCCCATAGGTTGAGGTGTCCACAGCCACTTATATGGCATGCTTCGTTCTCCTCAACAACCGATGTGGGACATCTTTTACTAGACTCCACCCCCCTTGATACCATATGTAACAGCCCAGCTCACCCGCTACAGAATATTATCCGCTTTGGGTATACACCAGATCATTCCCTCACGGTTTTGCCTTTGGGAGCTAGCTCACCAAAACGCGTCCTACTAGTTAAGGCTTGCCCTTAATCCTGACTCGCACTGCGCAGCGGTGCGTGGTAGGATATTGTCCCTGCTCTGATCCCAGGGTTTTGTTCTGGTACTGACCCAGACGCGTCCCATAGGTTGAGGTGTCTACAGCCACTTATATGGCATGCTTCGTTCTCCTCAACAACCGATGTGGGACATCTTTTACTAGACTAAATTGTAATATCCCGATATTTAATCAGTATAAATTATGTTTAATTCCGATATAATAACGTTATTGTTTATTATTTTCGGAATTAATTAAGTTCAGTCGGGATTACCGAAATTGATTTTCGACGTACCGTTTACGTTCGAAATAATTTTGGTAATTAAGTATTATGTTTAATTAAATAATTAAACATAAATTGAGTGATTAATTTAATTAATCACAAGATTAGGGCATGAAGCCGTAGGCATTAGTATTTTCTCCCAAGTTTAAGTTCAAATGCCGTAAGGTTTCCTTTGCCAAGGGAAACATTTTTCATCCAATCAAATTAAGCAATTTGTCAAATAAATGATGTGCTTAGTCATTAAGAGAAGTATGAGGAGCAAGCAAGTGGCAAGTTCTCCTTAAGCCACACAACACCTACATCATTTCCCCCTCATGGCCGTGCACCTATATAAGGCAATCACTTGGGGAAAATTTTCGTCATTTTCCCTTTGGAGCGAGTAGCAAATCTTCAGTATATATAATCCCTTAAACCATCAATTTTCAACAAGCAAATTCACCCATCTTCCAATACAATCTCACGGCAATTGAGGTGAGGCCATACACACGGTGCACGCGAGGAAGAAGCCGTTCAATTTCTGATTTCGGTCGTGCAATTGAAGAGGTAATTCCTTCCTCCTATTAGAATCATGTTAATAAGTTCAATTCAGAGTAAATCGTTCGGAGAACTTTCAGTAATTTGTTAGGAAATTCATGTTAAATTCGGTTAACGGCGTGTACGTTTTATACCGAGATAAGTTTAATATTATTCAGCAAGTCATGAGCAATCGTGGTTCCTGTAGCTTTTATTTGAAGTATAAGGTTCAGTTGTGGTAGATCGGTCGGTAAAAGTTGGCGTTAGGTCCATGTTATGGCTCAAGGGGGCGGGCTGCGCACCTAGCGCATACCCGCGGGCCATAGGAGGCTTGATAGCCTTACCTTTCAATATGATCAAATTGTCCCGACCAGTTTGTATTTAAAAGATCATGTTATGTCAATTTATAGTTATTCAGTTTATGTTGGTCGAAGGATTGTTGAGATTGTTCGAGTTGTGGCCAAGGGCCGAAGGTCTCGCACGTAGCGAGTGCCACGGCCGAGGGTTTGGTCCGATCAGCAAGTTCAGTAAATTTTGTTAAAATCAGTTTAATGATCATAGTAGGTCATAATATGTTGATATAAGT